TTAATATACACGTTCGTAAAATAGCCAACTTGAAATATCAGCGAAACAATGTGGCCAAACGGCAGAAAACACTTTGCCTGAAGTGTCTCAGACGCCAGCTTAAATGGCATCTTTCTACCCTATTTCGCATAATGCGCGAAACTGAAATATAATTCTGGCAGGAAATTACAGAAAATAGAAAAGGTAAATAACTAAACAAAACTGGTTATTTCAAAATCAAATAAGTTCTTACAGGCTGATTTCATTGTCCCTAGTTGAGAACCCCTGCTATAATCTGAAAAAGGGTAAAAAATAAAACCCATTGTTAGCCCTTCTAAGAGCTGCGGCAACTTTAATAGCCGTCTCGGATTGCTTTAGAAAAATGATTCTTTTAAATTTTTAGTTCAAAGAGGCTTTTTGTCCCTGAGGGACTATTGTTTTCGTTTTGCGTCGAAAGAACTTCTTGGCACACAGAAAGGGGCGCAAATTCTTCAGTTGTCCCCAGGCTCTGGAATCCTCTGTAATCAAACCCAGATCGAAATTACCGGTGTTTAGGGATTTTACGGTTTGGCCACTGGTGGGCTTTTGTGAAAAGAATCTAAATTTCCAAACCTATTGCTTATAAAGAGAACAAAGTATGAGAAGAAAGCCAACTGCTTCTAAAGACAGTTTTGTGATTGTACCTGCTGATAGCAATAAGTAAATATCTTTCAAGACAGCTGAGTTTACATTTTGTAGCCTAAATTGAAGGTTTGTTTAGCAAGCTTAATAAGAAAGAAGGCCTAGTGAGAAATGGATTTTCGCCAGCAAGCAAAGCGTTTTGCGTTTCGTTGATATCAAAATAAAGAGTATCCGCTTGATTTGATGCGGGGGACATTAGAACTGGATTCTATAATAAAAAGCTGTTTTCTTTTAAGCAATGAAATGAGATTTAGTTAAGTGTTAAATTCCGATAAAACGTTCTGGCCGAAAACAAAATATAGTTAACATCTGAATGCGCAGTTTTTATACACAGATGTGCAGTAGGAAAGAAAGTTCCAGTACATGCATGGACATCAACTACTGGGTCTTATCATATTAAAATAAAGGCCTGAAATCTGTGTTTGCATTTTTTTGGCAAATGTTTATTTAGTAAAAACAATTGCGCAAATTATGTGTCAGGCGTTTTTGTTCGGAAGGTTATAATTCCATATTAAATATTGATGAAATAAGGGACGCTAGCAGATTATGTATATTATTTTGGTAACCTCACATCTTTGAATACAATTATTTAAAATATAAATTTTTGGACGTTTCCTATATTTCTGAAGATCGTTTATATCCTGGGGAAAACTTAGCTCTGTAACAATATGATGTAAGTACGTCGATTAAACGCCTTTATTATGATAAAATGAAAAGGTGAAGTAACGCCTTTTAAAACAATATTTATATTAAACAAAAAGTTTCAAATGGATTGTTTGATTATATTAGAGCAATCTAAATGTAATACATTATGCTAGAGCATTTTGTTTTTCCAATTGGCGTATATGCCATTTTGTGACTGTATTAATTTCGGAGCCCCAAACAGGCTTTTTTCTGCGGTATGTTCTCCATTTTGTTATTGTATGAGTTTCGGTTAGTATTTTTCCAATCTTTTAAGCCTGACTTATGATTTACCCATTTTAATTATTCGCATCTGATATTGTGCTTTGCTTATCTGATTTCATGCTTTCAAGTTGCAAATATTTTGTTCTGTGTTCATTTTCAGTGTGAAATTTTTCCAATGTTTTGAGCTTTATTATTGGTTAGTTAAGTTAGTTTGTTATTTTTTCCATTGTTTATCATGCCTTCATCCATTGATCGTTTCAATAAATTACCCCTAAACGACAGAAGTTTCTGATTACCTTGACTTTTTACTAAAGTGTAAACGTAAAACATTGATCTCCGATTTTACTGAAATCAAATCTAATCAAAAATCTTCCAATCGTGTGTCACGAATTCTCTTCAACTGCAAACTTGCCTTGCTTCGGTTCATCATAAGAGATACATGTCAAATGTTATCAAAAATTGAACTTGAGCTATAAAAGCTTTACCTGGAACTCGATAATTCATATCCAAAAGTCATTGCCATTGAACAAAAGGCTTGGTCTAGAACTGGAAATGTGATTAACTGTCATAAAAATACCCTTGCATTTAAATTCCAAAAACTTCTTTTTACAGTCTTTCAATTTAAGCAGTTCAAACAAATCTTTCCATTGTAAATATTAAGCCAATAGTTAATATTTCTAGTGCTAATTTATCAGAAAAACAAGAGATAATACTGAAATATAATTTTAACTTCTCACAAACCTCTAATTCTTCGATTCCAAAAATTTTGACTCCTATTGAAAAAGCTTTCAAATTCAGTAAAGTTTGAGATACACAGAAATCAATGATTAGGCATCTTATCGCCCATAAGATGAGATTCAACAATAAGTATTTGAAACCAAATCTAAACGCGAGAGAAAGAGCTACAATGCACGAAATTCATTCTGTCTCTTACATTATCATTTCAAAGGCCTACAAAGGTGGCCAGATAGTCCTCATGGACAAGGACACTTGCATTGATGGTGTCACTAAACTCTTAAACCAAGGACCATATAATCTAATCCCTAAAGACTCTTCATACCTCTCAAAAATAAAAACTGCGATCAAATCTTCACAAATCGTTTCGACCAACTTAAAACAGTCCCTTATTCCATCTGTTTCGAATTGTGCCAGATTATATGCTCTTCTCAAAATTCATAAAAGTGGTATTCCTTTCCGTCCTATTGTATCAAGTTTTGGCACTGCGTCGTACCCGTTAGCTAAATATTTAGTTTTTTGATTTTCAGCTCTATTAGATAATAGTATTTACACCATAAAAAATTCAATAGAGTTTGTAAAAAAGGTTAAAAACATTTCTCCTAGAAATTTACTCATGCTTTCTTTTGATGTAAAATCAGTATTCACCAATGTTAAAGTGGAGGGTGCATTAAAATGTCTAGAAAATGGACTTCGTGATTTTCATTTCTCCTGAATCCAAATTTCCTTACTCAACTCTGTTTGAAACAAACGCATTTAATTTTCGAAATAAGTATAAAAAGCAAATTAAGGGATTAGCCTTGGAGGCCCTCTTGGTCCCATCCTGACCGATATCTACATGCATTATTATGAATCAAAATTATTTGAAACTTCTCGGTATAGTTCCGCTACGTAGACGATACTTTTACCCTGTTTGACGGTAATAAAGATGATTTAAATAAAGTTCTTTCAATAATGAATTCCATTGATCCTGCTATTCAGTTCACTTTTGAACTTGAGACATGCAATTCTTTTCCGTTCCTCGACATTTTGGTTAAGCGTAACTCATCCAACTTCAGTAGTACGGGTTACCGTAAACCTTTATCGATTTGCCTTCCACCACACTTCAAATCATGTTTATCCGGCTAAACAAAACGTTAGCTTCATTTTATACTTTTGTTTTCTGTGCACCTCAAGTTTGCTCCTCCAAACTGGCTCTTGATCAGGAACTAAATTATTTAAAAGCAGTAGCCATTGACAGAGGCTTTTCATCCAACATTATTAACAAAGCAGTTAAAAGGTTCTCATCTCAACACACCAAAAGTCACACTCCTGTTTTAGAAGATTATAAGAATTCTGTTGTGGTTCCTTTCTTTCCATTAGGTATAAAATTGCACGTATTTTACAGAAATTTAATTTTCGTTTATTCTGCTATCAACAAAATGCGAGTTCATACTTAGACCCCATTTCGGATGTGAATTTCTAGGGTACTTACAGGATTCCTTGCCAGTGCGTTAAATTTACATTTGTCTAACTAAGAGAGCATTAAAATTTCGCGTTAAGGAACATGAGGCATATATTAAAAAAAGGGAAACACAGAAGTCCTCTGTTGCCCAGCATTGTTGTGCTGAAAATCACACTTTCCATTTTTCTGTAGCTAAACTTATTCAAAAAACATCATCCGTTGGTGAATTGGATTTTCTAGAGGCGTTTCACATTAAAACAAATTTTCTATTCTGGTTAACGACCCTAATTCCAATCCATCTTTATCTTCAGACTTTAAGGAAATTATGTTTCAATTTTCTAGTTTCATCAATACATGGCGCCAGTAGCTTAACTCCTGTCCAGCCATTCTTATCTTATCACTATATTTTATTTTGTCCATTTGCGCTTTGGCAGCTGAGAATGATGGTTCGGTAAAACCATTGAAAGTGTCCTCTGAAAATTTGCAAATATAACGCTGAAGTTTGTTGCTTCACTTCTAAATTAATACTAAATCTACTTGCATAAGAGAAGAGATGAATTCGTAGAACACGTTTTAAGGAAAATTGGCTCATATTAATAATTCATATTGGGAAACTGCAAAACAAGCCTGCTGCCAGCCAATTTTCAAAAATTCTGAATCCAGCTCTACCATTTTTTTGTGATTTTATCCGTTGAGCCACATTTTGATCAAATTTTGAATTTTAGCATTTCTGTGGGTGAAAAACTAAAATCCACTTCTCTGTGCTGTTGTTTTCTGATACAAAAAATATGTTTTAGCAATTTGCATTATATATACTGTTGTCTTTAGAGCTGTTTTTGTGTGGTCTTCCTCAAATTTTAATTAAGTATATCTTTTCTGATTTTAATAGTATGGAGGTAATATCATTATTGTCTGACCAATTTGAGAATAAAAATTTTTTGCATTGATATTTAGTTTTTCTAGAGCAGAGTATGTGTGTTAAAGTTTCGCCTATTTTTATTAAACGTCGTCAAGTGAACAAAATTGTGGCGTTCTAAAACTTGTTGAACATACTTTTTAAATTAGAGATCTGCAACATAAAGCGAGTACTTAGTCTTGCAGCTCTTTTAGAACACTCAATATAATTGGCAGGCATAATTTATTTATTGTTAACATTATATTTTATAGAAGAAAGCAAATTTTCATTTCATTATATATACGCCCTTATTGTTGATTTTCATCATTAGCTATTGTTGCTTCAGAAAGCGTGCAAAGATCAGGGGAAAACAGTGTTCATTTCTACAACATCTAATTTGTGGCCTTCGGTGTAGACTTTCTTGTCACGCTATTCTACAATTTGAAGGAACACTTAAACGCTGCTTTTTTCTCCTCAAATATCATTTTTATCATCAACGAGTCAATTGATATATAAAGAAAATAGCATTTCGTGATTTTGCAATAATTTAATCATGAAGATTTTGGTAAGTAGATAACTTATCATGACTTTAGCGTTGCATGTTTAAAGAAAGAGTAAAATCCTTTAATTTGAATTAGTTTCAAGAAATGTTCATTTTGCTTGTTACAAAAATAAAAATAAAAATAATTTTTTTCTAACAGAAATCGTTTCATTTAAAGTGGTTTATATGAAAATTTTAAATGTATTTGATGTATTTAATTTCTTGTATTGTCATTTAAAAATGTATAAAACATAACCTAAGAGTATGCATTTGGACGGAAAAAATATATGCAAATATCTGTATAATAATTGTATGCTTTTTTGGTGTTTTAATTATGCATTGTAAATACAAAATATTTTCGTATGATGCCACATAGATAATAAACTTGAAGAAGAGCAGATAATAAACTCTAAGGAATTAACATCTCATATTTTGTTTAAAAATATAATTTTATATTCCTAAGATATTTCCTACCCATTTTGCTTAAAATCACATTTTTTCGTGTCAGACTGACCTTTATCGATTGAATCAAGTTTAATAATGAAATCCTTGTTGACTATGATGACCACAGCCACGAAAAAGACGCATCCAATTGTTCAGAAACTGACGTTATTAATTGAAGCAAAATAAATAAATGATTAATAGTGAAGCATACCTTCAAATCGCATGTAACAATCTGACATTTGTTTTAAATTCTACTAATAGTTAAAATTGAGTTCAATACTTCAGGTCACACAGATTCGCCCATAGCGGTAGAAAGAGCAAGACGAAAGGAGTTTAAAGAATAGTGAAAATTTAATTACTGTCGTTATACCGTAATGTGTATAGTAAGACGTAAGTCATGCATTGTGCATGAAGAGCTTCATGCTGTTAGCGTTAGCAGCTGCTGGCATTTATTCCGAGATAAGCTAAGTGCAATCCTAAAGAAGGTAATGGCGATCTGAGGAGTTTCATTTGTCTTGTACCATCTTAAATAATACATGTTCTGCAATTGGTTACATAAAGGTCAAAGTCAGATGTCTTATTTAAAGAACTAAACTTTTGATAATTTTACATTGATACAAGAGAAGGACGCTTGTTGTGTAGCAAGTTTAGCACCGATAAATAATAAATGATTTTTAAGTTGTATATTTCCTTTCCATCTGTAACCTGCTAGTTATGATCAATCGGAAGTCCTTGTGATTTTTTAGCTGTGCTTTTTGTACAAATCTAATTCGACAGCTTCCAGAAAATTCTAAACTAAAACTAAAGATTATTCAAATCTGGTAGCTACACTAAACCTCCTGTAAGTTCATTTGAAACATTTCTTTGTGCCTTTTTTCTTCACACATTCATTCAGTCTAAATGCATTGACAACCGGCATAGTATAAATTGAGAGAAAGAAGTGTAACTGCAGCTAATGAAATACATTTCCGGACGTAGTCCAGGTAGTGCGTGAAATTGATTTAGATTTTAGGTTATCATACTTAGAGAGTTGCAGCACTGAGTGGAAACATTTGTATTATATCCAACTGAATTGTTGCCAAATAAAGGAGGCTAAATTTTGTTTTGTAATATTTTATTTTAGAATTTCTAAGTGATGAGTAAGGATAAACTTAAGCTTTTACTTGCTTATGTTATGTGGTATTGGTGTTTCCACAGATAATTTAAGCTACAGAAAATGGCTAGCATCTTAGTTTTGAGATAACACTGGAGGGGTTAGCTTAACCGTAGTAGGAGAAGTGTTGATTTAGGTACACAGACGGCTAGAAATATCCCATCAAATGTTATACAGTGGTGGTGAAAATTATAATTACTTAAGATATTTTCTAAAAGTAAAGATATAAAACAAAAGTTTTTACTTTTTTCATACATAAGTGATTAAAATACAGCATAAATAAATCATTACTCCCCTATGAGTAAAATTTTACTTACGCGTTTATTTTATTTATTTGATGTAATATGTTTCATGTACGAGTTAAGATAGGTACTCTTTTGGTATCAGGACCGAATTAAAAAATGCATTGCGTGTATGTATGAGCGTATATGTGTATGTATATAAACACACGTACATATGTACGTATATATACATGCATATCTCCATACATACATGCATGCATACATATATTTCTGAATCCGGTTCTGCTAACAGAAAACTATCTTAAGATATTATTACAAACATGAAAATAGAAATACAGTATAAAATTTTAAAAATCCAAAATTATGACTTTATTTCAGGGAAATATTTTATCCCACACGATTTTAAAACTAATTCATCAAGAATTTTGTTTTACATAATGTGTTGAGCAGTATTGAGTAACTGATGAAAAAATTAATTAGTTTGTAAGGATCCTAAGTTTTACTAACGTTTATTTTATTTTAAAAGTGTACTATCACTTCTTATTTTCTACTCCGGCCAGAATTAAATGCTTTAACTTGTTTATGCAAATTGTCTTGCTAACTCCCAAGTATTTAAGTTGTGGCTTTTTGCCAAGAGTTAGGGAGACAGAAGGAGATTTAGGAAGCAAGCCGCTTGCCACTGCAGTTTTACGAGTTTTCACTCAGTTGCTGGTTGCTTTTAAGACCAGAGGTTTAGCCCTCTTAATATTTAAGAACGTATTGTAGTTTCAGCAGCTTAGCGTACTACATACGTACCCTTTTAAATAAAGGCCAGTCTTAGTGCTAGGCATTTGCATATTAATTCAAAGTTATCTTTTAGTTAGAGTTTTAGTTAGTAGTTTTGTATTCTTACGTTCAGACCACAAGTGGTTGGTCTCTGTATCCCGAAGTTCGGGAATACCTGTAAAGTATTGAAAATAAAAGGTTTCGTATACCCTTCCCGCTTGTGTTGTCTACTTCACACATTCTTGAACATAGCTTGAGTAAGTTCCCTGTTTCTATTCAGGACCATTCATGTTTCAAAGCAAATCAAGAGAAACACAAGTCTTGACAAGTTTATTATAAGACTGAAATAACGAAATTATTCCCATTTGATAACATGCCCTGATATATTTTATTTTTCATGCAGACCTTTCTTTCATAACTCGTTCATTACATTTATTTCAGATCATTAAATTTCAGCAAATATTAGAAACATTTATTATCAATTAATAACTAATATTGTTTTATTACAGTTTTCGCTTTACGAATCTTAAACTTGATATTTGTTTTAGAAAATTGCCTTTGATGATTTTTCACAATTGTTCTTAAAACATTGAATATGGAAATAGTAATTGTTATGGAAATACTACGATCATTTACTTTCATTAAATAAAACTCTACCGAGTCATGGCATGTGACAAGAAAAAAATACTCTTCATAAGAGTAATAAAAACATTATTTTATATCGAAAAATCAGAAAAAATTTTCTGATATTGGTGTACTGGATTATTGCAACAACAGCTAATAAGGAAAGATATTTGGTAGTCCAAGAAAATGGCAGAATTAACAGTGATCGCTCCCTGAAGAGATGTCATAACGAAACTGAGTATCCTTTGCTCCTTGGATACACGAGTTACGCTGCAGATATAGACATATCTACGCTTTGACAACTACGCTTTGGGTTTGAACGGTTTCAGATATTGGCCACAACTAACGCCGGGCCGCCCAACTAGTATAGTGGTTAGTGTCGCTATCTGCAGTGCCGAAAGGCCCGGGTTCGTATCTTGGAGAAGGCATGGATGTTTGTAAATGTATAGTGTCCGTGAGGCGCTGTAGCACGGAACGTAAACTTGCGCTTCTTGCCACGAGGAATTTCGGGGGCTTTGGCTGACTACAAGTCAGACAAGTGAGCATTAGCAACAACTAAGGCTGGAAGCGGTGGTCACTTTATTATGGAGGCACATGATAGGTGGGCCAGTGTTGACTTCTATGAAGGGGTGGACAAATTACATCCATGTCTTCAGGATTTGAGTCCAGGCTCTTCGGTACGGCAATCAGAGTTACTAACCACTTTACTGTTGGACAATACCGTCCGACAGCAATCTAACTGATGTATAACACCATAATAATTGGAAGCCTTTTCACCCCAGAGAACTGAAGACTCTGGACACTGAATGAGTATGGGCTATTTACAGGACTGTTTTCATTTACAGTGCCCGAATTCCTCTAATCTCTTGCTGTCGAAAGGTAATTAAGGGATCAATAAATTTTATTAATCCAAGCCAATTTTTTCCATTTCTTATAAAATTTTATAGAAAGTATTAAAATTACAGAAGTCATTTTTACTGCTTTTCCTCTAACGAAAATTAACCAAATCATTAATGTAAGTGAACCACTTTGTTGTCGAGAATCTCTTTCAAGAATGTTTACCTGTATTATCATCATTCATGTGAATTGACATGAAACAAAAATCTCCACCGGGTGGTCTTTTATCTTGTTAAAGGTTATATACCTTTCTTTTGCAAATCAAGTAAAATTAACAGGATGTCTCCAACTTCTTAAACTTCTATAACTTCTACAGAAATAATACAACTAAGCTACTTTTATTAGCTAATTGATTATGGCAAAACTCGCTAGGTATTATCTACCTAAATGGAGGTATTTTTATTTTTGGTTTTGGTTTTCCTCCTCGTCACAATAAATTTATGTGATCGCTGTAATGGTTTCTGATGTTGGCTGCTGTTTTTGTCCAGGGTCGTATCCTGGAGGCTTTTATATTTGTAAGTTTATGTAGTTTTTGCGACAATTTCTGCGAGCCGAAAATCTCTCAAGAGATTTGGTAATCTGGGAAAATAGATAGAAGGCCCTTGAATCCGTCCCTCTGAGGATTCTCTTTCAACCTGAAATGGAATTTGGCACAGCTTGACAGAAAAAGTGCAATGGCGCTGATGTCAAAGGTAACGTCAAGAGTCCAAATTTCGTTGACATATTTTTTCTCCGCCGTATCTACGTAAATCAAATCAGTGATCGCGTAAAAAAATTAATTAATAGATGATTTATTTTTAGTAAAAACAAATCTATGAAAATCCGATTCTAAATTGTCCCGAAAAGCTTTGTCAAAAAGTGAATCCTGTACGATCTCTGGTTTTGTACCATATTGCTCAATTTCCTATGCACCTGACGATTTGAGGTCGAGAATGTTTCCGTTTAGTTTTTAGTGGCGCAGTAGCACAATTATTTTACATTACAACCATGGAAACGTTCCTTCTTTACATGCACATTCTTTGGCTCAACAGCTATTCCGCGCACACGCAGCGAGGTATTAAGCCTAGATGGATAGCCCCTATACAGTAAACTTCGTATATGCTTTTCCTTCTTCGTCCTGATGAAGCCACTCCTGTTTACGCGAGGCTTTCGTTCTTAATCCTAGAAGTTCTTTGGTTGTACTTCACGTATGAAATGTCCAAGCCCTATTAAAACGACAAGCGCAATACTGGGCTCCTCGTCAAAATAAATTTCGTGAACTTCTGATGTTACTACCAGACGAGGGAGATACGTCATAACAACATATATATTCACAGTGTGGAATTTCGTCCTTTTATCAATCAGTATATATGCAAGAGTATAAGAACTTTCGCTTAGAATATCCACTCCGAGAGTATCTCTAAGAAAGCCTTAGAATATTTCACATTAATAAATTATGTACCTGCTTTAAAGTACAAACTTTGTGGATTTATGATAAGCCTAATATCAGTAGGAAAGAATAGCTATACTAAATTTAAGATTTGTTAATATCTTTCTTATTTTCGCCTGTCGTACTAACAAATTGTTTCATTTCAGTTAATCGTACTGGTTGGTTTTTTCCTGTGTTCTGTGACTGGAGGAGCACCTCAGTACGGGTTTGATGTACCATTTTACGGAGACCTTCCTGTAGGAGGCTACAGGAACAACATGCCGGTACCAATGAGTCCTATGGCTGGCCAGGTGCCTGGCATATTTCCATACCCATACAATCCTACGTATTGATGTAACTAATAAATAGCTTTATTATTTTCAAATGAAAAGTTTATAACTGGTGACTGTATTGATTTTATTTTTAGTAAAATACAATTCTTTTGTGTTAATGCTTAAATGATTATAATTTATAATACAGGTCATCTGATATAAATAAACAATAGATGTTTTAGTTAGTTATCTGAATTTCTAAAGGAAGTTGTTTAATTATAGTATCATGTTATATAATGAAAATTGTATAAACTTAATTGATAGAAAATTAATTGATCAGAAATATGGAAAATAATTTTAAAAGTGGAATAATATTGCAAAGAGCAAATTATGCGTATAAAGTTTTCAGAAAAATTTCACACCCGGAAGCGAGGTTCGATAAAAAATAGCAGTACAAGCAATCAAAATAAAATATTGTAATACTTTAAAAAAGAAAACATACTGAATAAAATAAACGGGTTTTAAAACGGGTCTTTGTTGACTGAAAAGGCAAAGTTTTTGTGTTAATCGTTTTTTAGATTCTGAAATATCACAGATATATATTACGGAGGAAGAAAAAAGTTCCAATTTTTAAGTGTTCTGAATTAGAAATATCTGATGTGGATGCCACATTGCTTGCTTGTATGACCTTTTAAAACTTACACATTTTTCTGCACTTCATTTATACTTATATCGTCCAATTTCATTAGAAATGTATTTCTCATTCAATCAATTCAGTTCTCACTTCGTGGCAAGATAAAAATATATAAAAACTCAAAATATAATTAAAAACTGTAAAACAAAGAAAAACTCAAAAACTGGTAGATTTTTGCGTTTAATAACAGGTAATCAAGATTAGAGTTTCTAAGCAAAAACAAGCAATTCGGCCAACAGGCAGGAAGAAAAATATTGATGCAAAAAATTAAAAAGTTAACGTTAAAATTAAAGTTAACGTTTTATACCACTCCACAAAAAGATACTTAAGTCGGTGCACCAACTGACTTAATTCACTATTCTACTAAGAATTTCAAATGTAAAAAAATGGCGGCCTCGTTAGGCCTAGCGCTACTTTTAAATTGTTGACAAATTTTAAATTGTTGACATTATGCAACTATTCCATGCATATTAACTAAAGACATGAAAACTTAAGCGGAATATAAGAATAAGATAATTTAGTCACTTTTTAAAGCAAAAATTGCATATTTTACCAACATAGAATAAAAAAATTGAGCTCAACGAGATGCGTGCAGAGTACTATACATTTAATATATGTAAGTAATTGTGAGTAAAGTAATAAGCCTAAAGCTTGCATTAAAACTGCTAAGTAATAAACTAATATTATTATTAGGGAAAAAATTCATATATTATCTACCAGAAGAGAAACTTAATTAAAACCATGAATTATTATAAGACAACATTTTTAGTCAGTACTTTTATTAGTACTTTAATACTCTACATTAATTATTGTATTGCAGTAAAAACCTTTAAAATCTGTAAAGATAAATTCTGAATCAGAAAATAACCAAAAAAAAGTGAACATTTTAAGTACTGAAAGGTAGTTAATGTTGACTGCAGATGCAGGTTAATTGGCTTGTCAAGGGTGACAAATATATATATATATTAAATTTTTTACTTTTGTTTTTATTATTTTTCAGATTCAGGATTTTCACTGCATATAGCTGAAAAGTATATACCAGGGCTGTGGAGTCGGGCAGATTTTGGGGTAAAAAGTGTCGGAACTGGAGACGCTAAAAAAAACAGGACGACTCCGCCTCCAATTTTTGTTGGACAATTTGAAATGAAATTAAAATGAATTAAAATAAAATATTACTGACAAGCTGAGTTATTATTTTTATTTATGAACTATATACATTAATAAATAGTTATTTTCTATTTTATTGACGTATTAATAAACAAATATAAGGGAGGATGGATGTGATATTTGTCATTAGTGCTTAAACTGATTCATTTAGTTACAAATCTCACTGGTAAATTTAGGTAGGTAGCAACAGCAGCAAGAACTCCCAAAATTGATGCCATTCTTAATCGCAAAGGAGCCGGGACTATACCTTCAAACTGGAACAATTCTGTTGAAACAGGTTCGTTTGGCAAGGCCAATTAAAATTATAAGCATGTAGTAATTACAAAAATATTCTTTATAATAAATTATGACTACATTTCTTTAATCAATTACTAATTATAAAAAATGGGCGTAACTCTCTTTACGACTTTTTTATTTAAAATTTAAATAATTTTTAATCATGATCACACGTAAAACCGTCGGTGGGTGCAATGGTGCCAGCGGATATAATGTTGGTGAACCCTGAGATAATCCATGACTTTCTTTGAGAAAAAAATTTCTTTAAAAAGAACCGTTAAAAACAGGGCGCCATCTGTCGGATAGAATGTGTACTTTAAATCTGACAGTTTTAATACAGTAAAATTTCAAACAGCTAGGTTAACTCCAACCAGAGGCATACCGTTGTCAATTTTATCTGTACGCTGAAATCTTATGCATCTTCTGTAATGCATACAAGGAAAATTCTTCTTCTTCTTTTTATTTTACTTCAACAAAAATTATACAATATTCCCTATATAGTAATTTTAATTCTGTGAAACAAAGCAGGAAACATATTATTTTCTCTGAAATTCAAGAATTTTCCAACTGCTTAACATCGATCAATTTCTTATCAAAGAAAAAAAAATTTATTTGATGTAAAACTATAAACTTCTTTTTCTTTTTTGTTCAATTAAAAGTAAACTCGTACATATTTTTACCGACAGTAAATAATAAAATTGTCAATATCCTGCACACTGATAAATTTGATTATTAAATAAAATATTAAGTCAGCATAAATAAAGATCAACAACAGCTCAAATTTTCTTACATGAAATGGGCATTATCTAGAGCAGAGGTTCTCAATCAGGGGGAAATTCACTCTGGAGAGGAATTCATACTTTCAGATGAGGGAATGTAGTTAGCCTTTTATTTACATTACTGGATATTCAGGTTTAGGTTTATAAGGTTACAAGGTTTATGAATGCAAAAATTACTTTTATTCAAGTTTTTGTATCTGTAGACATTTTCTATATATATCCTCGTTTAAAATATAAAACACGTTAATCTGAATATACATTTATTTTCCGAGTTTGAGAAAGGAGGAAGTGTCTATCCGTTGTCTATTTGAAGTATGACAAAATCTGAAGATTCATCAAAAATTGGGTTGGAAGAAATAACAAAACAACATTAGAGGCCACAAATATAAGAGTTATAAAACATTTCATATGTTTATATTCAGAAATAATGTGAACGTTTCTGATAGCATAATTACAGAGATCTCAATACATTTCAATGCTTTGAAAGAAAATTTTAATCTTTACCCTATTCACTTAGTATTTGAAATAATTTGTAACTGCACCTTAAGTATTGTTATAAGAGTCTGGAATAACTTTTATTATTTTTAATTAACGAGCATAAACTAATTTTTTATTAACCTTACGTTCATCGAGTTCTCATCGCAAATCTTAACTTGAAACTAACTATACGAGGTCAGGGAATTTTTCAAGGTAAGATTTTTGTTTTGGTTTGGTTTATTTCATTATGGCAAAGCACTCGAATGCTATGCATCTAAGGACAGGAATGCCTTCGTGGAGGACTTCCTAAGGGGAACTGGTTTGTATATACGTAACACATTGGGAAAAACACGAAAATGCCCAAGCAGTCAGCCCTTTCGGCTGGATTCGAACCGAGGTCGAAACTACCCGTATTTAGCGATTTTAGCACTTGGTCGCTGGTGGACTTCCAGGAGGAGGATAAATAGGTCGTTTCTTCTAAATTACTAAGAATTTTGTATCAGCCTGAGAAATGTGTTTTTAGTGATACCTATTTAGATAGCTGGGATAGATATAATTCTAATTCCGTTTGAGGAAAGAATACCAGGAAAGGCGCCTCTATAGTTTGGATTATTCTTTTTAGTTTGGATAATTTCACTAAATTAATCTTAAAATCCGTATTCTGTAAGAAAAATATACTGTGCCAAATGCACCATGATGCATAAACGTGCTCCATTCTATATCTATTTGAAAATTGACACTATTAAACGACATATTCAAATACTTATTTTTATGCTTCAGTAAAATCAACAAGTCACCATCCATCATTTCCTGCATTTCACCATCTATCATTTAATGCATTTCCTGAAGCTTTATTTCCTGTGACCAAAAAACGTGCTTTCTTTGATGCGTGAATTTTAATGAAAAACATTTTCACAAAAACCATATTTTCCCACACTCGCAACAGCGACTACTTTCTCTCACGCAAACCTCCCATCGCATATTCTTGCTCTTACTGCCAAAGATGGTAATAGTAACACTTTTTTAATGAGTGGGCAGGAAAAAACCATTGATATCATCTATTGAAATAATGCATTTTGCTGTGTAGTATACAAACAACATTTCCATCTCTGTCACCCGTATTTCGCAAATAAAGAGAGTATATTAAAATCCTTTGCTTTCATTCACACGAAAGAGTATACTGTAACGAATAGTATATTTTAATTTGCTTACTTTAATATTATGGCACGTTGCAGTTAGCATACAGTATGAATACCATTAAAATCTGTGCGCGTCTGTCTGTCTGTTTGTTTGTGGTGTTATCTCCTCCGGAACGGCGGAGAGTTGAATTTCCAGAGAAGTACCCCTCGGATTCCAAAAACCCGTGGGAAGCCATTTCGACCATTCTCATGTTCGTACGACTTTAATTAGCCGAGATATTAATTAAAAACTCCGAAAAACGTAATTTTCGTCCCAATTTTTCCGAGCGGCAACAGTCTCGCGTGTTGAACATAAAAATCTGCTTTCTTTCAAAGAGTGTTTCGTGAGTGCAAACAAAGCGATGTTTAATAAATAAAGCTAAAAAGACAAAAAAAGTTGTAAAGATCACCTTGTTAAGAAAAATTAATATTGACTTGATGAACTGAGAAAACTCTGAAAAAGTAGAAAATATATGACAACGCTTAACGCTCTATCAAAATGCTAATTTCAAAAAACTTTGTGTTTGTACTTTTGATTTTTTATAGCTTAAGTGCAAAAAAGGGATATTTCACAATCATAACAGAAGAGACCATGGCAGCTGCATAATTTAAAAAGGCATAGAAAATTTAAAAAGACTTTGCATAAGTTAAAAAGACAAAGAAAGTTTGTCGAGGCCTTTCTGGAATGCTGTTTGAATTCAACATTTTCTTTTCATCAACAGAACAACTAAAACATGAATGTTTCCAAGACGCACATATTACCCAATTCGTCAAAAACTTTAAACCAATGAGTCCGAATCGAAGGTTACTTTCTGACAGTATTCGAAATACGATTTTCACTCTCCCGCAGGGAAACATTTCCTTTCCCTTATCGTTCTACTTATTACTCTTTCACTCCTAATACTTTTCAATTCTCGTTCAATCGCTTGTTGCCAAATTGCAAAGCTAAAGTTATTAATACACGACAAAGTTGCGTCAAAACCTTCTGGTGTGACGTTAAATTGCGAACTGCACAGCATAGCAACAAAAATTTCAAGACAGACAATTTCTTAGTTGTTTCCCAGTGTATTTGTTAAACTTAATAAGCGTGTAATAGCAACGATTAAAATAAGATGTGATTGCCACTCATTTCAAACCGATATTGCTCAAGAGACAGCAGTGCATGTAATCCCTTGAGCAATATCGGTTTGAAATGCCGATATTAGAGTTCTATGGAGAAGATTATCACTATATCTAAGTATCAGAGAAAATCCGAAAATTTGTTTTGTGTATGTTATCTAAAATATTTCTTTAAATGCATCAATATGTTAAACTGAAAACACATAATAACATCGCAAGTATGCGAAATATTTGACGAGTGCTTTCCAAATGTATGCTCTTTTTGAAAAACGCAAATACTTTTGCTTCTGTATTAAAGAATTCTTCACGAGAGATCGCGTGAATATCTATTCAAACGATATAAAAAGGAAGTGAAATATACAATACATGCAGCTGGCCATGGTCTCTTCTGTTATGATCTTTTTACAATGTTTCCTTTCTACCGAAGGACGCAAATATATTAAAGAAATATTTTGCAGTGTTCAATAAAAGATTCAAATATAAAAATATCGTGCAAAATTATGAAAACAAAATAAATGAAACATGTTCTTATTTTGCCACAAAAATTAGGAAGAGGATTTTTCGCATGCCATAATTGCAATTATTTTTTAAATATTTCGTATTCAAATTTATGAAAGCTGCTATCCTGAGTATTTGAATACACGCATAAATAAAACACCGATTTCCTGTTTTTTTAGTATATAAGTAACAGTTTAAACCCTATCAGGCATCTGCATCGAGTATAGCATTCGAAGCAAACATGAAATACACACTGGTAAGTAAAGATGAATAAATTTATCCTTATAATTTAAAGACTATTTTATATCGATATATTGTAGTATTATAATTAAATATAATATTATACTTAATTGTGCCTAGTAATAAATTAATAATATATTCTATTTACTGTTAGCTCTCGATTAATTGGGGGGAACAAGTGACGATATTGCAGATTAACCAGACGTTTTCTGAAATAAAATAAGTTTGTTTATTGCGTGGAAAATTTGCTATCGTAAACCATCAGAATAAAACCAAATTTCTCCTAAAAATATACACAAAATAATTCTTTTTGGAAGGTTTCAACATTTTAACGGTCGTTAAAAAGGATTTTTTAAGAGTTTTTACCCTCTCGCTGAACTAGCAGTCTACCAATTTGCTGTTGCACTCAATCCTACTAACCCTATTTTTACCCTTTTAGCTTTATTATTAAGTATCATTTTCTTTGTACTTACGCCATATACAATTCAACAGCAAAATTACAAAAATTTTACAAGAAGCTCAGTAGTATACGTTTAGAATTCCAGATGCAGCGTTAAAGGTTGGTATACATTTTTCTGTTTTTAGACTTTCCTCAGTTCATGATATCGATGTTCAGTTTTCGCACTAAGAGGGCTTTATATTTTTCTCTTTTTATTATTAACGTTTTACTTTATTAAATATCATGTTCTTGGCGATTACGCGCATAAAACTTAATTCAAAGGCAAAAGCACAAAATATTTGAAAACAACGCATTTTTAGAATTTCAGATAGATAGTCTCGTACTTCGGAGATAGAAATGATTTTTTTCATACAGTGTTGCTACAGCTCGCTTTCAAATCGTTAAGTTTCTTAATGAAAAATTCGTTAAAGTTTTGCGGAATATGAAATGGATAATAAAACGAATCCAATATTCGGGCTTCTAGATGCCCATGTTCGTATGGAGGACTACGTTATTCAAAATCCGATGGCTCTACTTATCGTTGTTTTTCACAGTGCGAGAAACATGCATACATTGATACAGATTCTTTATTATTTAATTTCTTTAAATATAATACAGGGTGATATAGTATTTTCTTTTAAGAATCTGAAATACCCGTGGCAATAGTATTTCTTTTTAGCCCTTTCCGGCACGCTACCTTTCAAAGTTGAAGTTTTGATGTAAAAAAAAAAAAAAAAAAAAAAAAAGGTAGGCAGTCTAATTAGGCCAGAGGAGTACACAAGTTAAATTTTGTGAAGATAGCACTTATCGTTTTAATTCTGTGGGTGTGCCCAAAGTGAACACACTGATTGAATAGAGCTTCGAAAAGAATGCTGAAACGAGCAGTGTTGTCGATGAACTGACCGATGAGATGCGGAGAAACAAAGAATACAGACACTCGGTTGTCCTAGATAATCGGCGAGCCCGGTCTGGGCACACCTAGGGTTCGCCGTTTGATTTTTAAGCAAGATTTCAAGGTAAATAATTAAAACTAATATAGAATGAGGATATTAGCATACAGCCAAAAAAATAACATAGAAATATCTTTTCAAACAATTCCTTTTAACACCCTAAAAAATTCTGGAAGATTTCTTTGAAAAATGAGGGTCTTAAAAAACTAAACATGGCTAAAATATAGGGACTGGTTTGTGTTGAGCTGCCATCTACTATAAATAAAGAAGGTCAGAGTAACCTAGCCGCTGAACACTGGTAGTTAGGTCCGGGGTTTGAGTCCCGGCGAACTAGCTGGCTGCATGTTCGTTTTTTTTTTTTTTTTTTTTCCATGTGCAACGTGGATACGAGCCAGTTTCTCTTAAAAAGACCTCCACGGGGCATCTCTCCCTTTCCGTGTAGTGCCTAAGGGCGGAGCACGTAATAAGCAAAAAAATATATATATATCTCATTCGCGATTAACGTCTCTTTTGGCCTAAGAGAGAGATAGGAAGTAGTAGTCAAAACAATGATACAAGTAATATCACAGTATTTAAAAAGTATTTTCATTCACAGCACTACATATATTTATTTAATTACACATAATTTGAAATATATGAACACTGTGAAATCAGCCGTTAAGAATAAATTGCTAAGTGGTGAATATAAATTAAGGAGTATCAGCAACCTCTATACCGACAATGTTAAATTGGCCATTTTCGATGTACCTTTTCTCAAAATCTGCTGTAGATACATGCTTGAAATTTTTTGTGTAATTAAAGTATACCTATCTGATTATATGGAAGGAGATTTTGAAACATTTTGGAATTTTGGATTAATTTACAGACTATTTTGTTAGGCATAGTAAAATTTAGCACTTTTCTCACACAATGCTAAATTAAAACTAGATCTTTTTACACTTCTAATTTTCATAGAGATTAAAGAACGGTATTTTTAGAAAGATAAAAGTCTAGAGAATTTGAAAATGCAAAAATCCGAAATCACTATTTCTTCAAGATTTTGGGGTTCCAACACCCCTTAAGTGTTTAGCTATTGATCTTCCGCTGTTGATTCACATCATAAAGTAAGACTAATATAAATAGAAACATCATTTTTTCCATTTTAATGTGTATTCTTATTTTGAATGTTGATTTAATTAACCAAATGAACTTAAACAAATTTTATTATTTGATAAAAAAAATAATTCTATCAGAAAAGTTTCTAAAATAAACTTTTATTTAAAACTCATAAAAGAATTAATGAATTAAAAGTGGAAGAGTACTTTTTCATATACTTTAACATGGACAAGATATTAATTAATTCTGTTTCGAAAATTCGTCTACAGTTTTGTATTACGAATAATAAAAATCCTTGGCAAGCTTGATAAATTTCTAAAGTTAATGGCTTATACATTTGACAATGCAATTTGATTATAGGATTTCGCTATTTGGGCTTTTATTATTCTCTTTTATTATTTTAGGCCAATGCTTTTATTATTCGTGTTGCAAAATTGTTGATGAATTTAAGATAATTATTTAATCTCTTCTTCACATTAAAATATACGATACATTATTTTTTCCTTCTTTTATACAATTAATTATTTTATAAGTTGTAAATAAAATCTATTTTTATAAGAAGGTTAAAAATTTTATTTTTTAAGTCTGAATGACGTTATCTGTTGAATTAATTCAACTGAAAAATCATATTTTCCTACAAGAATAATCAATCTTTTATTTCTTAAAGTTCTGTTAGATTAAATGTTAAAAAAACCTCCAGCAGTTTTGCTGTGAAATCAGAAATATTTTAAAACTTTTCATTAAACTCCTTTTTAATTTATCTTCTCTATTCAACGCTATAAACAGTAAAATTCTGAGAATTTTAGCTTGTTTGTTAAATGAAGATATGAACAAAAATCCATTCCAACAGTAAATTCAATTAACCTAAATCGAATTCTGAGAAAATCGCTTCACCACATTGCATTGTCATCCACAAACAACGTATGTGCACTATTTGAGGTCGACAGCTTATCAGGAAATAGATAAAAATTATGAGTAAATTAAATAAAACAAATACCATGAGTAAATAAGTAAATGCTTGTATAATAATATTATATGTATATAATGCTAACAGTATTTTCTTACTAATTGTAAGATGCTTGTTCATCTTTCCTTATGTTTTTTAAAATTCTATCTGATTAACCATGGGACAGGGTTAATCGTGAGTATCCTCCATGGTATATAGGAATGGGGGTATCGTAATGGTGTTCCCGGTGCTGGGCACGATACCCAGTTTGTCCTTGGTATTGTGTATGGTGTTCTCTGTTAATAGGAAGTCTACTGAATGTATAGGTTAGCATTTAATTAGGTACACATACAAGCAATAATGCAGATTATTTCCAAACATCGGTTAGTGAAATATCTAAGAAATATTTTGATGCAATACACGTTTTTCAAAAATAATGAACAATGATATTTTATTTAAATTTTGAAATTTTACAGTTGTCTTCAAATATAATGGATCATAAATGGAGAATAGCCAAAAATTACATGAAAGTGTATTTTTTCTGTTAAACACTATAGTCGATAGATTACTATGGCCCAAATGAGTAATTATCATAACTATGAAGTATCATTTATTAAGCTGAAATAAACATAAAATTAATAAAGAACTTCTTCAACAGAAGTTATATGTTTATCAAAATTCGTATTTAAATTTCGATTTTACGCCGATGATGTGTTTTTATAGAGTTGACGATGTTAGAGTTTCAAACTGTAATGAAATAGACATAAATTTCCGAATATGAAGCTATGGATAATATTCTAGATGCAAAACTGCATATTACTCAGCACTGTAAAGAATCAATATACATTTTAATTCAAATAAGGTTTAATGCCTTTTAAATTTATCGTGTACAAGTAAAAGAAAAAAAAATTAAAAAAAAAAAAAATAAATTTGCTGCTGTGAAAAAATTTAATTTTGTATTTGAAGCAGCGGCATATGATATATTTCATATCTAATTACATAGCACAAACTCTTTAACCGCAGTGAAATAATTGTTTTAAGGACTGAAACAAGGACATTCTTCTATATATAAAGGTAAACGGTTTTTTCTGTAAGCCTCTAGGAATTGAATCCAGACCAAATATATCTGTTTTTCCTAAATAAGCCATGACGTGATGCCCCAATTGGAGCGAACTAAAAGTATGATTCCGGCTTAAGCACTATCATTGAGAATCACCTTAGGGGCTCGCGAGCGAAGTCGCTGAAAATTTATCTGAAATACTGACTCTGTAACGAATTCCATCCGCACAGAAACATGATGAAAATTAACATTGCTGTTAGTCACTCATAAAATTAAGGGGACGGTGGACTTTAAAAATTAGTTTTTTAAGTTTTTGTGTTTTCAACAAGAAATTTTATACGTATACGTATTCTAACATCAGTTTATAAAATATACGTTCAAAATTTCAATTTATTTTAAATTAAAAATTTTTTAAACGAATCATTAAATTATTTTAATTAAATATTTAAAATACTTGCGCGCTAATTTTCAATATTTTTTCCTAATTTTTCCTTTTAGTTAGTTATAAAGACTTGACAAATGTTTTTGTGTATCCGTTATTAAATATGATGGATTAGAAATTTTTAAAAAGGATTTTTGTAACCTTAAGCCCAGTTTTCGGAAAAATGTCCCCTTTTGTTAAACATTATCACAAGTTTAAACTTCTTAATAACCTCATATCCAAAAATGCATACACAGATCTCCTGTAATATATAACAAGATAACTGCCAAATGTCATTTATTTTTAACTATGAATGAGACGCATAGAGCATTTTCAAGTCTTACGAACTGCGAAAACTTCTGTTTTGAGAAAACCGAATTTAAACTTTTTCTTCAAACTTACCTTTAATATATAGCCATGAGAAACAACAAAATAACTCTAAATAGGAATATGTAGACACTAGAACATTTTCGTATCATTTAAATATTTTTAATCTCATAATATTAAATATGAAAAAATAAACATATCGCAAATTGGTATGTGATTCGAAGTTAGAGGTAAAAACAATTTACGCATTATATCCAATGAAACTTTTAAAATTCCCTCACTTCATGTGTTTTACTTTAATTTTTTACGTTTGCATTATGTTTTAATGCTTTACAATACTTTTTACTATTTTTTTTTCCAAGCAGGTAAACTTCGCATTTTGCGATGTTGATCACGCTTTTTTGCAACGAAGGGAAAACGAGTTTGTTTCCTCTTGTTCTACGCGTATAGCATTCACATAACCAGCTGTTTTAAAGTTCACCGTCCCCTTAAGTTTTCTTAGCAATACTAATTATCGTTAGCTTTCTTATTACAAACTTAAATCTTTTTAGGAACATTTAATTATCTGAAATGAAAATTTTCCAAATTTTTTTAACTAGTACTTAAATTTAATAAAATGAATTTTTTAACTACTTAAATTTAATAAAATGTTTTGTTTAAGGTTTTCTTGTTGGCATTCTGCTTGGTGACTCAAATGTTCGCCAGACCTCAAGAACCAGAGCAGGAAGCAGAAGAGGGCGATGCAGGTGAAGAGGGAGGAAATGCTCCAAGTGAAGGTGGTAACGAAGGTGGCGAAGAAGCAGGTGAAGGAGATGCTTCTGATCCTTCTTCTCCTTAAGGATCATTTGGATGTTCACGGCATTTTATTCTTTGATGACACATATAATCATGTGCAATTATAACTATTAAATTGGACTAAATTGTAACCAAAATGCTCTTTAAAAGACAGTCCAAGTTACAGACAAAGTATAAAGTTAGAATCTTGATTAAAGCAAATAAATTCATATTATTCAAAGTATTAAAAAATGGGCACTTGTCTTGAAATTTTTGTCTCATGGTTATTAGAAAGAATTCTGACAATATTCACTGCTTAACATTATCTCCATTTCTTGACGATTTCAGAGTGCCAAACAAATAATTAAAACTTTTTCTTTCCACTTTAGAAAACATAATCAATTGACTGTAAATAATATTTATAATATTCTTTAGAACTATAAAGTTAAAATATATAATAAAAATAGTCTTTCTGTTGATAAAAATACCATAATATTATTAATGAAATAATTATTTAGCTTCCTTCAACTGATCGTACAAATAATATTGAGAAGATACAATGTAAAACATTTTCCTACTTCACTCTGAATCTCTGAAAGCATCAGTATATAACTTACATCCAATACATATATTAAATTTAGGTGCGTTTGCCTGAGATTTGTATAATACATTTAGTTGTTCATCAACCCTCATTCGGCATTTATGCCTATTAACATAGCCGTTGAGACGTAAGGTTTTTATTAAATAAACAACTGAATTTTAAGGAACCCGCATATTGTATACCAAAAGTAGACAAACTTAGCCGCATGTTGTAATTTATGCAACTAGATTTTTTAAAAACGCAAATCCCTATTTAAATCATTTTAAAGCGGTGAAACTGGTTTCAATTGGCCAAAAATCGGATTTTAAACAATCATTCAGTGGCAGTTTGCCTTCAGCAAGTGATAATGCATCGAAGATAATGCGAAGTTTTGTGGCTTTTTTGTTTTCTCTAATTACAGCTCGTTAGTTAAAGAAGTACTCTTTTTCTCTTTTTCAGTGCTCCGATTTTTGCGCCATACCTACTTGTAAATGTTGATCAGTCTCAGCTTTGGGGATGTTCATGAAGTTTCGGATTCTCTCACATTCGCGCCAAAGCGACACAAATCGTTTTTCTGCTACCTCATAATTACCCCGTTATTTCCCCGCGTACTCGTTCCACGACAAGCAAGCTGTATACCTGTTGTCTTCAAACTTTACGCATTCACGAAATTTTTGAAACCATAACTATCATCAGGTTTATCATGAGGTCTGTAAGGTAGCGGCTCTGTAAAAGTTATTATAAACAGTTTAGAGTAGAGAAGAGATAGCCAAATTAAAATGGAAAATAAAAAGGACCATTTTCAATTTAAGATTAATAATTTTGAGTTGCATATTTTATATCTTATACATATGTATGCTTTTGGTACTTCTGATTGCATTAAAAAGAGGGAGGTGCACAACTAGATGTTACAGCAAGTCCATGCACAAAATTTCAACGTTCTACGGCAAATTGTTTCTTAGTCATGAGAGATACATCCGTTACATAGTTACGAACACACGTCACGAAAAAAATCACTTTTGATTCAATTTTATAGTCCGTCCTTTATTCTATCCGTACCTAGAGATGTCATTCAAAAAAATTGTCAACATGGATTCGGGAAAAGTGAATATAGATATTCAGCTGAAATCTGAAACCCGAAATTTTTCGCGATTACAATACTTCCTTTAATTTGTGCAAGGAAGTAATAATCTTAAATTGAATTTATTGACTTTGGAGTTTGCGGCAGCTTCTAATTATAATTCTTATCTGGAGTAATGTGTAGTAAATATTATGACGCATAGGTAGCTCATATTTTCTACTTTCACAATATGAAAACTCTCATCTGATTGTGAAAATATAACAGCTGATTCAGGGGTTTAAAAAATTATACTGAAAATGTAAAAAGAAATGTAAGAAACTAATAAAAAATTAGATTTTTCAATCCAACTTAGGATTTAAAAAATAATAATCTATAGTTCTTGGTTTTAGCTGAAAAGCAATCCTCTATTTTCCTACTGTAATATGTAAGATTAAAAGCTAAGTATCTTCTTAATCAAGAGAAACATTTAATTTCACAATATATATTAGGAATTATATGAAATAACTTTATAATCACGTCTGCATTTTCCTTCTATCGCATTCTTTTGGGAACTAATTTATTAAAATGTAATTTTTTACAAATTAATATAAACATGCCTAGTATTTTCGCGCTTTAAGCTGAAGAAAAAATTATCATTAAAGACAAAGTAAGAAATTTAGAACTAATATTTCACAAAGACCAAAAATTGAAATTCATAATTAATAAATTTCAAATAAATGCAACAAAGAATTTAAAAATGTTAAAACCAAAATACTTTAAATAAGTAAAGAACTGTAAATGAAATTACAAAACTGATTTCCACAATATTGCACATTTACTATTTAAATTTTACTTTACATTTCCTAGGGGATAATTTTTCATTCATATATTCTCTTATTCTCTCTCTCTATATATATATATCTACACACACACACACACATATATATATATAATTTACATATTACATTTTAATAAAAGTCTGTAATTAATTTTTATCAGCATTTTACACAGAAATAATTTTAAGATCCTTTTGTTTTAAAAATTTGTACAATACTGTAATATATCTTAAATTTTCCTGTTTAAAGATATTATAGCGTGTAACTGTTAATGACATATTTATTTGTGGAAAATTTATCTGCTGAAACATTATTTCACGTGGATACTATGCATTATGGTGCATGGATTGGAAATGTTTCATTTTACGACTTTCACTGCACGCAAGTTGGCAACTATTATTATACCTTTAAACAATAAGTCAGTCATAAAAGCCCTATTCAGTGATATTATGAAGTGTGGTTACTAGACACAATATTTTCCTCTTTCACAAGCACGCGATTAGATGGTGAAAGCGACAAGATGTGCTTTTAGGTACATTAAAAAACGAAAATATTGGCATAAACAAACAGTGTCCTGTCTATGCTTTGTTTGCTCAGGACTCATGTAATCGTAGTCATTACCTCTCTTTTAATTGAGTAACAAGGCATTTCACTGATGGATAAAAGCCTTAATTTTGTTTTGCATCAGTAGAATTATGTGTTGCTTTTTATATTTATTCCTTGCTGCTATGCAACAAACTAATAAAAATGTATGATATTTATGAAGGACAAGAATGAAATACGTAAAAATATGAATTTCTTAAGCTAAAGTAAGAGAATTGACTATTATTTCTTAGTTTCACTTTTAACGTTTCTAGTACACACTGATCAAAGATCTATTCTCAGATTTACTCCAAATCTTCTAAAACAGCTGGCATCATGCAGGCTTTAATTTTGAACATACAAATTGATCGTCAGTTGCTAGATGTTTCAAAATAAATAGCCGAGGGTTTAAAATTTTCTTATTTGTAACAGTTTCATATTCTCTGACCTCTATTTTTCAGTTTTACTTTAATCTTCAGCATTTCGCTACTGCTCTTGTCTATACATCAAACACGTACATATGCAAAGTAATTTACGTTCTTTACATGATAAATTCTTCTTGAAATTGGTATTCCCTAGGGATCGTCTTCGTTCTTCTTCTTTTTACCGAAATGGATAATGTTTAACTACCTTAGGTCCAAGAAACGAAACTTATATCTTTTCGTCTAAATAAAAGACTGCATTTCTGGTTTTATAATTTCTTACGAACAAACCTCAAAACCATAGCTGTCCAAACTTCTGAGACTTCTATTTTCAAATTTTCAATGGGAAAAGAATTTTTCCCAATTCTAGAAATTTCACTCCCAGAATTTTAATGACTTCTACAACTTTAACTTGTATAACCGACGTAGTTACTTCTACATTGTGACCTTCTGAATGTTCTACCATTACTTAACTTTGCCAATTATACAGAATTGCATGTTTGATACTAATATGCAAGATCTCGCGGTAGAAGAGATACTCAGCAATGAACATGAATAGCTTACAGATCAGGAAACACTAGTACACTAGTCTTGGAAACACTAGTACTCAATAAATAAGACATAAGCGACAGTTCAAATAAGCAATTACTTAGAGAAATATAATAAATTAATTCGCAACTGATTCAAGTTATTCCGTAAAACAAGAGAATCATATGTTAACTTATTAGGAAAGAGCACTGTATCTGAGCATCTATCCGAGTTTCAAATTTTCATTTGAAGCTCGGATAGAACTTTGCACTCTGAAAGACTTAAAACCATGCGAATTTCAGTGGGCATAATGTTGCTTCAATGCTCAAGTTGTTGTAGTTAGTACCGCTTAATGACAAACACCACTTGATGTGCTTCGAACAAGACAAAAACCCCTGATTTCATTCAATTCGCAATGGCTAAAGGGAATACAAGTCGTTGATATCGACAGGATACGTATAAAATGTATGTTTGACTTTATATATACTAACCAGCTTCAAAACAAACCCTTTTATAACAGATCCCATTCCAAATGAAGGAAGAAAGTTCTTACAGAAAATTCGAGAAGGTTAAATTAAGCAATAGCATCCCAAAGACATTTCTTACAGGGAATTAAGGGTATCAGTAGCGGAATAGCGCCTGGGTCAGTGAGTGTCCAGATCCGTCGTCCTCCGTATTCTGTGTAAAGCCTAAAGAAAAAGGACGGCTCACGTAATACTGATAGGTAGCATTACAAGCGACCACTCAGATCTTCAGGCTAATAAGGCCGCGTGCCGCCATGAGACTTCAGAACCCGGAATGGTGACTCCATGGCCCAGGTGGAGTGGTGGGTAGAGAGAAACTAAAAAATCGGCGGCCGGTAAGTATGAGACTGACGGCAGTAAGTGATAATGCTATGCTGTCCAAGGTGGCTCCTTCCATTCCGAATACCTAATAACTGCACGTTCGTAACTAAAAGAGGGACACAAAGGAACAGGAAGAAATCAGTGAAGGAATCAGTAAAGAAATCTTTTTTATGTGGAAAGAGGAGGAGAAACACAGTAGGATTCTACTAGATTGTAGTTATCACTTAGTCCGAAAGAAATTACTGGTCTTTAGAAGGTTAAAACAGCCTTATTTAACTCTTAAAATGAACAGAAAGGTACTACTTGAGGGACAGACGAACCTCCTCGACTTGGAGGTATTTAAATTAACATATGCGATATGCGATATGCGACGGGGTACGTGGGCACCATCCCTTTACCATTGGGTTAATTGGTACA